CATACTTACAATACACGTGTCGACACGTGCCTCAACCTCTGAACATTTTTATGCTAAAGAATCTCGACGTGTTGGGGTCAAAATTTGGAATGGGATACCTCAAATTCTTAAAGAAAGACCGAGAAATATACTTATATAACGTCTAATTTCTTTGTATTTATCTAGTTTGTAGTAAATTATGTAGCCTGACCTGCCTCGAACCCGGGGCCTCGAATAGCCTCGCTAACTGCGGGCCAATCCCAATATATCTTTGCAATATATTTCCAAATTTAAATAAAGTTGAAACTAGTTGTACAGTTTAAGCAAACTTACCTAAAACCACGTCGACAACATATCCCGTCCATTCTGCCAGTACAACAAACAGCTTGTGGGTGATAGCAGCAGTCGTATCTTCCGGCACTTGCATGATAACAGCATGTTTGACCGTCATGGCAACGTCTTCGGTCGGGGCAACGAATATAACCAGCGTTGCTGCCTTTCGGGGAAAAGAAAGAAAGTTCATCTTGAGATGAAGTGCACAAATGCCAGTACAGAACTTGGTTGAGATTAACTACATCTCACCTTCCATTATTTAAGCCAGTGTTGAGACCCGCCCTCCCAAGCTACACCACTGCTTTAGTCCAATTCACCTCCCCCCCACCCCCTCCCCTTCCATCCCTGACATTTTTAGGCCTCCTCGGCGAGGTTCTGCGATGCACGTATTTCTAGTTGAGGACAGTAGCGCGGGCAGTCAAGATACCGAGTTTCTCAGAAAGGCACAAAAGTGCAGCGTGACGGGTTTCCTTTGTAGAGGCGTTTGCCCTCCTGATGATACGCCACTTGATGTCATATGTTGTGTCGTTGTCCTTTAGTTCCCAGACGTATTTTGAAAGTACTGTGTCACGTGCCGGGTCACGTGAGTGGTCTCGGTTCCTAAAAGAGAGTTTGTGGTTGTTGAATCTTGTTTTGAAGTCATTTTCCGTCATGCCGATGTAGTTACTTGTAGTTTTGGATGCTGTCGTCACTGTGGCTTCGTAGATGACGTTATGTGTGAGACATTTTCCATCATTTATCTTTATTAGTAATCGATTACAGTACTTATTTCACGTAATCCAATACTGGTGTTGTGAATTCAGTCCGGTGCCCTCTAAAAAGAGGTTTTAACAATAGAAATTAGCCAAATACAATTTATAGTGTCCGCGTCCGCTTAATAGAGGTGTCTGCTGCATAGGGGTTCGTTATAAAGGGAAATATAAGACGTAAGTGTCCGTATTACAGAGGTGTCCGTATAAAACAGGTCACTGCGAGGACGTCACTTTTATGACCACACTTACAGTTTTAAGTGTTTAGAAGCTAAAACCAGGATAACACTCGTCTTTAAACTGCATTTAAAGTTATCAATTCACAACAAAAAGACATTGTCTTTCAGTACAGCTAGTAGCATACACAGTCGTAGACAAGTCACTGTTTTCAAACGAAACGATCTACAACGCAATGATGAATGTAGAAAGTTGTAACGTAAAGCACAATTCTGAAAGCGTCTTTCGCTATTTTGCTAGAGCAGTAAACAGTAACTACAGCACAAAATGTAAGAGAAAAGATCTTTATGCTATCTGTAGTTATTTGAGCCTTAAAAAAGTCGGCTATGTTCCTTGTTTGATATACAGCTACTAGGCTTTTGAAATCACTTTGCATAGCTCATCAGCCAGACGGGATTCACCCTGTGCAGATTCACTTGATCAGTATTCGGGATTCACCTGATCACAGCAGTGTCCGCAATAAAGAGGTGAAGTTTATATGAATTTTACACTCTGGGGCCGAGATTTAGTGTCCGTTGTCCGTATTAGACAGAGTCTGTATTATTGAGGGTTTTTTTTTAAAGAAAATATATGAGAATTTTGTCGGGACATTGGAAGATGTCCGTAATGGAGAAGTGACTGTATTAGAGAGAGTCCGTATTATAGACGTTTTTTTAAAGAAAATATATGAGAATTTTGTCGGGACATTGGAAAATGTCCGTAATGGAGAAGTGACCGTATTAGAGAGGAGTCCGTACGGAGAGGTTCGATTGTAGTCTTGATAATTGGCGTTTTGATGACGCCGAAAGGTACGTGGACTTTCGTAATCACTTGCATGTTTCGGTCAAGTTCTTAAAAACCTCACCCCCTTAACTGTCTTCAAAACTTTGGCCTATTTCTCGGCACAGTTTTTTAGAATATGAACAGATTTTTTTTTCCTTTCAGGCACTCTTAAAAAGTACATGACATCCATCGAGCAATATTTTTTTGCGCATTCAGCTTGCAGCCAGGTTGAAATCCCGGATAAAAAGGGATTGCGTGAACTTGAAAAGAAATGAAAAAAATGAAAGAATTTGGCCAGGGTGTTGTCTACGAATGACGAAAACCCGATCACGCTTTGTTCTTTCTTTGCTAAAAAAATTTGATATTTTTTTTTAGAGTAATTAATTTTTAGAGGTAATTCCAAGTATATCAAAATGTGGTTGATAAGGTAAGGAGAACAAAATATTTGCCTATCTTAAAACTTGGTCTCGGAAAGGTGAGGGTACCCAGGGTTAAAGCTTAATCCGGTAGATTTTAAAGCCGATTTATCTGGTAACTTTCTCTTTTACTTTTAGAACATCCAATTCCAATCACCAAATTGTAGACAAAACAAATTAAAACTGAATTTGCCTTTTAATCTTTCATACCTGATTCAAATTTCGCACTACCCATGTATGGGTTATCTTAACCAAGCTTTAAACAACCCAGCCCAGGGTATAAATCATATTGCCGGGAAACCTCAAGTCGCTTTTCTCTTAAACTTTGCTGTTTTGTTATTTATGTCTATAAATTTTGCCCGATTAGTAGGTAGGAACGCGTGACGAACCCCTAAGAACGTCTGCGTGGGAGGCTAGGAGGAACTCGAGATGACATATCCCGCCTTTAACCTCCCAAAAATGGTTTTAAAATCAAATGATCGCTTAAATTAATTTGATTTCGCAGCAATATTTATTTACCTGCTTTATCGACATACGCACACACAAACGGCACAATCATTACCAGGATGACGGCAACTGTCTTCGCATTTGGTGCAAGCATTTCTTAAGGGATCAAACTCCTGCAGACCTGTGCGAACGTTAAAGTTAGGCGATATCAAGAGAAGAAAAATTATGCTCGATAACACTCACAGTAAAATGTCCCTTCTACGGCTCTTTTGATCGTTATTTCGTTTCGCCGTAGTCTGCTACACCCCTATAAAGGTGACGGGGGTGCTCGTCGGAAACTTTCGAGAGAACACCCATAAAAGGTACCAGAATCTTGTTTTATATATGGGCGTGCCCCAAGTTCATTTCAACCCCTAAGAGGTAAAAATTCAACAACATCAAATTAATATTATATAACTGGCGCTGCAAATTTTAATAGTAATAACATCAACTTCCGAGCACTTTCTTAGGTTTTAGCACCCTAAGTGGTATCTATCCACAAATTTAAACCCCTAAAAGGTACGACGAGCACCCCCGTCAACAAACAAAACAAAATGTATCCTAGCGATACGTACTTTGTGATATCCTTGCTTTTAGTCTTTAGAGCTACAGATAGGGCAGGAACACCAAACTGATGAAGGAGAGAGAATGCTTATGCCTCGAGTTCCTTATATTTACGTATGTTATATGAAACCCGTACATGACACAAATAGTGAGCCTTGGTGGTGTGATAACACTCGAGGGTCGAATGTGATGTGTAAAGTGCAACGACCATGTGGACGGAGGGCTTTAAGTTATAACGTGCCCAAAAAAGGGTTGTGCCACAAATTTGTTTATATCGTAAATGACCAAATAAACGCACGGGGCCTCTATTTAACTTAAGGGGCCCAAGAAAGAGCGTTGTAAAAGATAGATAGGAAGCGTTAAAAGATAGGGGCGTTTACTCTCATAACTGTAACAAGCTCAACAAAACTAATATATCAAGCGAGTTTGAAAATAGTGGAATGTCCACTGTATCCACCCCATTAATTGATACATCTAGGCCGTCTAGCGATCCATTTAGCTCCTTCACAAGTCCCAACATAGATCGATGTCAGAATCCTCGCTCAGGGTTAATGTGCTGCCATCAATAGTCTATCCTTACTTTAAACTTGACATTAAACAAGATTAAATGCGCAAACCTTGACAATCAAGTAAAAAACTGAGTGAATTGAATGATTTTGCTCTTTTTTGCTAAATCCTAGTATATTTTTTGGAGTAATTCTCATAGGGGGTGTCTGTTAGACAGGGGGCGTTTATAAGGAAGGAGCGTCTAATAACATTTTAACAGCGTAGAGAGGGCTTTTGGTATATATAAGAGGCGTTTATTTGGAAGTGGACGCTTATTAGGTCATTTACGCTAAGCTATAAGGAAACACAATGAATGACCCCATAAAACGTTAAGTACGGGTCTTTGAGAACTTTGTGTTCCAGAAATAAAGTTTTTTATGCCATACCTACCATACAACCAACGGTCATACAGGGTAGCAAGATAAGAAACCAGCTATTATTTGATACATGTAAGAAAAGGATCGAAGCTCAAAGACACGTTAGGACTTGTATTGCACGAGCGAGTCCCCTGCACTCGAGCACAATTCACCCTTTCTCATTTCAACTTGTCAGGTAGTAAAAACAACAAAGGTTAAATGGGATTAAATTAAGTTTTTAAAGAAGAACTGTCGACTAAATTAACGTCCATTGTTCGAGGCTCGGACTTTTAATAGAAGTGAAAGAGTAAAACTTTGCAAAGATATATTCATCTTTTTGTCGGGTCTTGTCAAAAATAGGATTACTATGATTTTTTATTTCATTTTCAAAGGCTTATCGCACTTAATCCCCACAATGTAAATAAAACCCCTGATAATAAATTCAAACACTGATCAAAAAACAAGTAGTATTTAACCTAGAGATAAACGTCGAGAAATTGAGCTGCAATACAAATACATCAGCACACCTTCTGAATTGATGTATAATTGAACTTTTTAAAGTGATTACTTACACGTATTGGATTCTAACCCACTTGAGTTGCTTTTAAAAAAGGGCTTGGAACGCCCTGCTAGGTGCCAGAGTCTTTTCATGAACGGGTTTTAATTTTGGTCAAGTCTTTAAAGTGACCCGCTCGTGGCTTCGGCCTTCGGCCGAAGAAGTGTAATCGACCTGTGGCCGATCCCGAAACATCTCCGCACTCAATCGCCGCACGCGAGAAAAAAAACTGTGGTACCCTGGGTAGAAATACCCCCTTCTAATTGCTTTTTTAAAACTATTGGATTTTATTGTAAAGATAAGTATGTGATTAAATATCATGCAAGTGCAGACAACTTGAAATTCTTGTATACATCTGTTTTGAGAAAGGTCGTCGGAAAAAAATGTGCACGCGACAATCCCGAAAGGTAATATGGGATATAATCAATACACTGTCTTTTTGACACTGTAGCTGTCGGACCTACTTTTGTTGCTTTTCTTTAGCACTCGCAAACATACGTCCATCGTCTCTAGTGCATGATTCAAATTTCTTTGAAAAACAGTGAACTCAAAACCACCCACAAAACCTTTCGGGATTGTCGCATGCACTTTTCCCGACGACCTTTCTTGAAATAGCTGTAAACAAAAACCGATCAACTAGTGTTACTCGTGCGAACAATCAGTCACTGGAGCTTCATTACAAGAACACAGGCCCACTCTCTTATTCGAAGTCGAAACGCTGATCTGGGAATAATTCTCTGTAAGAACTACGAATTTCAGTTGCATCCAAGTCGGTTGGCTTCGTCTTTATTACACTAGGTTCGCATCTTAATTCGGCTGCGTTACATCTACAAAGCAAAGAAAGAATCGTATCAAGAAATGGTGTATTGTAGAGGGTCCAATTCACCAAAACAATAGCCTTTTGTGTTGCTGCCGAAAACAGACCGAAGAGTGTATGCATAATCATTTAATCTTCGGCATGACAAATTTTTAATATTAGGGAAGAGGAGAGAGGTTTTTTGCTCTGACGCGATGCTATTTTACAAGTGAGATTTATTGTGGCACACAACGCAGGAGTGTATATTTTGCGGGTCGAGCGGGAAAACCGTTTCACTTTTGATCGGACTGTGCTGTTATACTGAGTGCTGTGAACAAAAACATATGATTTCAGAAATACTTTACAGAGAACGTTCTTAAAGCGTTATTAGTCCATACCTTTTTTTTTACTTTAGTGCGCACAAAATCAGGGCAGTTGATAGCCAATCAGATTTGAGAATTTTGAAATAGTTATGATTAGTAAGCGAAATAATAACTCTGCGCGCGCATCCGTCACCCTATTCTGTTAATTTCGTTGCGGTCCCTGCAAAACTAATCTGTAAAATGGTCCTTGGAAATAGAAAGGCGTGCAATTTTGCACGTGCAGGCAGCACACTTTTTGGTACATTTTATTACTTTGGCTCCACGAGCACGGCGTGAAATTTTCTTTTTGATATGCGTGTTTTATAGAGGACGTTAAGACATAGTAACAATTTTTTTTTTCCTTTCTAAACTTTGAGTGCAGTCCCCAAGAATTTAACTCCAAGGAAATTCACCTGCATTTGACCTAATTACCATTTTTTTACAGAAAAGATACCCCTTTCGTATTATATACATTCTTTTGACAAATAGTATCCCTTTCACATACACTTTCCATCATTTCAAACTGCTCTAGATGCACTCTCTTTAAAATATAAATAAGTCACAAAACCAGAACGTTTTCCCGACTTTTTCACAGCCATAAAATGCTTCTGTCGGCCCTACTTACTTCTACTGGTAAAAACCGTACCATTTCGACCCATGAAATGGAAATCCGGATTCCGGAATCCGGATAAATTTTGCTTATGGAATCCGGACCACAGCTAAAGGAATCCGGAATCCCACTAACGATTGGAATCCTAGAATCCAAGTTCTGCGGACAAAGACTGGAATCCAGTTCCTGGAATCTAGAATCCAAGACTGTCCTGGAATACTTTACACGGGGCGATACCACAAACAACCGAACTCCAAAATCGTAAGGACTTTTAAGGTTTTATCTCCAGCTAGCAAAAGATCTCGTAAAAATAAATTTCTGTGCAAGTTTTCAACGTGATAGCGTTTTCCGTTTTGAAAAAATATCGTTCTTTCTTATTTCCCAAGTTTACTCCGCGTGACGTTAATATAGCGACCGAAAAGGCCGTTACATATGCTAAAAAATAATTTTATTGCATAATGTTATGCCCTTTGTATGATGAAAGTATTAGAAATGTGTTTAGGGGAATAATTTGCTCGTTCGCAGTGAACGACAATAACAACAATAACCTTGCTAATTATTCCTCACATATACCTAATATCTTAAATAAACATTTTCAAATGTTGGCAACATCTCAGCAAGCAAATTACCACCGGCAGAGCGCCGCGCGTTTTTCTTCAAACCTGTAACTCCATCGAAAATTCAAATTCAAATTTTATCTATACCAAACAGCAAATCCAATGGCTTATACTTCTGTCCCACTCAACTTCTTAAATACTGAAGCGACGCCATCTCCCCAGTTCTTTCAGACATTCTCAATACATTTGTCACTCTTGGGGCCTACCTCAAAAAACTTAAAACGTCAAAAATTATACCTATCTTCAAAGCTGACGACGAGACCGACACTTCTAATTATAGGCAAATTTTATTATTATCAAATTTCAATAGGATCTTCGAAGAAATTATGTTCGAAAGATTGAGAGACTTTATTGAAAAGCACAGCCTATTATATTCGTCTCAATATGGTTTTCGTCAAGCTCACTCAACCCAACATGCTATTCCTGATATGGTAGAAACTATACAAATCAATATGGACAAAAAACTCTTTTCATCTGGAGTTTTTATTGACTTAAAAAAGCCTTTGACACTGTGAATCATAATATATTACTTGATAAACTAAATTATTATGGCTTCTGTGGAATTGTCAATCAGTGGCTGTATTCTTATTTATCAAATCGCACACAAGCTACTGAAATTGGCTCTCATATATCTAGTAAACTAAATATCAATTGCGGCGTACCCCAAGGATCTGTCCTAGGTCCGCTTCTCTTCTTGCTTTATACAAAATATATAATATATTAAATGACAATTTTTCCTTTTTGCTGACGACACTAACGCTCGTCATGCTCATAAAGATTTAAAGAAACTGGAACTTACAGTAAATGCAGAATTACACAACTTGAATAACTGGCTGACTTCAAGTAAGCTTTCTCTGAATGTTATATAAAGTTAAACTATGTAGTTTTTTGTTCATACCAAAAAAGATTCCAAATTAATGTTTTTGACAATGAAAGCAATAAAAAGGTTACCGTTGAACGTAAAAACTTTATTAAATATCTTGGACTGTTGATCGATGAAAATCTATCGTGCAAGACTCATATTTACTCTGTTGCAAACAAAATAAGTAAAACAATTGGGTAAATGCGAGATTAAGACAAATTGTTCCCACTGCCACCCTCCTAAATATTTATCAGTCACTTATTACACCTTACCTAACTTTTCCAAATTTCAATACTTAAAAGTTGAAAGTTGAAAGTTGTAGTTGTACAGTTTAAGCGCAAGCAAACTTACCTGTAACCACGTGAACAACACATTCCGTCCAGTTTGCCCCTACAACAAACAGCTCGTGGTTTATCGCAGCAGCCGTAACTTCTGTGACTTGCTAGATAACAGCATGTTTGACCATTTCCACAAAGCCCTCCGTCCGGGCATTTAATAAAACCAACGTTGTTGCCTTTCGGTAACAAAAAAGAGAGATTGTTGTGAGATCGATAAAATGCACAAATGCAGTACAGAACTTGATCGAAAACTCATAATAGACGTTTTTGAGCGACGCAGGTCAACCGGAAATGAGACCTTTTCCCTGCGAACAAATTTGTTTTCCTAAGTGTCTTTGCATGCAAAAAGTCCACTTCCAGTTGACGTGTAAGAGAGGGGCCTCAGCCGAGGTGGATAACACAGCCTCCGAGATCTGCATAATTCAATCTTCACATCCCAAGAAAACCGAATTCAGTAATTTTCCTATACCGATACATATATACGCAAAATATTTTAGATAGTCTTGATAATGGCGTTATGATGACGGCGGAAGGTCGACTTTTAACTCTCCTATTTACTTGTATCGTTCGGTCAAGTTCTTAACAACCTCACCTCCTTGATTTTCTTCCAAAGTTTGGCCAATTTCTCGTCACAGTTTTAGAATATGAACATATGTTTTTTGTTTTGTTTTTTTTTTAGATGCTCTTAAAAAAGTACATGACATCTATGCTTGAACTTGAAAAGAATTGAAAAAATTGAAGGAATTTGGCCAAGGTGTTGTCTACAAATGACCAAAAGCCGATCACGCTTGGTTCTTTCTTTGCAAGAAAAATTGGATATTTTTCTTCTAGAGTTCCAAGTATGACAAAAGATTGCTAACAATACCTCAGGTTGTTCGAAGGCCAATTGCCCGGGGTTAAAGTTTAATCTTGTAGATTTTTAAGTCGATTTATCGGGTAATTCTCTCCATTACTTTTAGAACATCTAATTCCAATCAGCAAATTGTAGACAAAAAAAATTAAAACTGAATTTCCCTTTTAACCTTTCATATCTGATTCAAATTTCCCCAGCTTTCAACAACCCAACCCAGGTTATAAATTTTGCAAAGCCTGGAACTTGCCATGACATATCCCCTTTAACCTTAGTCCCAAAAATGTTTTGAAAATGATCGCTTAAATTAATTTGATTTCGCAGCAATATTTATTTACCTGCTTTATCGACATACGCACACACAAACGGCACAAGCATTACCAGGATGACGGCAACTGTCTTCACATTTGGTGCAAGCATTTTTCTAAGGGATCAAACACTCCTGCAGACCTGTGCGAACGTAAAAGTTAGGCGATATCAAGAGAAGAAAAATTTTGCTCGATAACACTCACAGTAAAATGTCCCTCCTACGGCTCTTTTGATCGTTATTTCGTTTCACCGTAGTCTGTTACACCCCTATAAAAGTGACGGGGGTGTTCGTCGGAAACTTTCGAGAGAACACCCATAAAAGGTACCAGAATCTTGTTTTATATATGGGCGTGCCCCAAGTTCATTTCAACCCCTAAGACGTACAAATTCAACAACATCAAATTATATAACTGGCACTGCAAATTTTAATAGTAATAACAACAACTTTCGAACACTTTCTTAGGTTTTAGCACCCTAAGTGGTATCAATCCACAAATTTAAACCCCTAAAAGGTACGACGAGCACCCCCGTCAACAAACAAAACAAAATGTATCCTAGCGATACGTACTTTGTGATATCCTTGCTTTTAGTCTTTTGAGCTACAGATAGGGCAGGAACACCAAACTGATGAAGGAGAGAGAATGCTTATGCCTCGAGTTCCTTATATTTACTTATGTTATATGAAACCCGTACATGACACAAATAGTTACGCTGGGTGGTGTGATAACACTCGAGGGTGGAATGTGATGTGTAAAGTGCAACGACCATGTGGACGGAGGGCTTTAAGTTATAACATGCCCAAAGGAGGGTTGTGCCACAAGTTTGTTTATATCGTAAATGACCAAGTAAACGCACGGGGCCTCTATTTAACTTAAGGGGCCCAAGAAAGAGCGTTGTAAAAAATAGATAGGAAGCGTTTAAAAGATAGGGGCGTTTTTTCTCATAACTGTAACAAGCTCAACAAAACTAATATGCTTTGGGCGAAAATATCAAGAGAGTTTGAAAATAGCGCAATGTCCACTGTATCCACCCCATTAATTGATACATCTAGGCCGTCTAGCGATCCATTTAGTTCCTTCACAAGTCCCAACAAAGATCGATGTCAGAATCCTCGCTCAGGGTTAATGTGCTGCCATCAATAGTCTATCCTTACTTTAAACTTGACATTAAACAAGATTAAATGCGCGAACATTGACAATCAAGTAAAAACTGAATGAATTGAATGATTTTGCTCTTTTTTGTTAATTCCTAGTATATTTTTTGGAGTAATTCTCATAGGGGGCATCTGTTAGACAGGAGGGCGTTTATAAGAAAGGAAAGTCTAATAACATTTTAACAGCGTAGAGAGGGTGTTTGGTATATATAAGTGGCGTTTATTTGGAAGTGGACGCTTATTAGGTTATTTACGCTCAGCTATAAGGAAACACAATGAATGACCCAAAAAAAGTTAAGTACGGGTCTCTGAGAACTTCGTTGTTCCAGAAATAAAGTTTTCCATGCCATGCCTACCATACAACCAACGGTCATACATGGTAGCAAGATGAGAAACCAGCTATTATTTGATACATGTAAGAAAAGGATCGAAGCTCAACGACACGTCAGGACTCGCATTGCACGAGCAGGTCCCCTGCGCTCGAGCGCCATTCACCCTTTCTTATTTCAACCCTTCAGGTAGTAAAAACAACAAAGGTTAAATGGGATTAAATTAAGTTTTTAAACTAAATAAACGTCCAATGTTCGAGGCTCGGACTTTTAGTGCCTAGTAAATGGGACGTAGGGATTTGCCATCGGGACCCTAGGGGCGGGGGAGGGGATAATCCTACAAATTGTTGGATTTTCGTTAGAAAGTTCAAAAATACCCCTAGAAGGTACCAGAATAGCCTGTGTACAGACACCCATCCCCTCAGGAAAAATCGGAGAAGGGCTCCCTCTCCGATTTTTCCTGAGGGGCGGGGGAGGGGTCTGTACACAGGTTAGTACCAGAATTTTGCTTTGTGTGCGCTGCTAAGTTCATTTTAATCTCTCAGGGGCAACCACAGGTCGGAGTAGTGGGGGAGGGATGTTTTAGGCCTTTTCCATGGGCAGGAATCTCATTAAATTGCGCAGATAGGATGATGTCATACTTTATTTTCCGTTGGCAAGGAGCAAGTGACGTCAGCATACCCTAGGAGTTGACGTCATCAAAAAATGTTGGGATCATAATCTATAAATAGAAAAGTGATATCATTCCCTACTGGTCATGATGATGTCATATTTATAACATACCGACTTGACTGCCTGTCAAGCAAAAATGTCAATCTTTGTTTACTTGACTCTGTAGAAAGTATTGTACAGGGTATAGAAATTCTATATAGAAAGCAACAGGTGGTTCTAAAGTAAACCCTTATTTGGGGGGTTCTTCACTAAACCCCAGTCTTGAACCTAATGAGTGGAATGTCTATTAAAAAATAGGAATAAGAGGTGAGATCACCTAGCAACACGTAAAACGACTTATGCCTTCTTTTTGGGCTAAAAATCGGAAATATAAACAAAACACACACACATACAGAAAGCGGAGCTGAAAACTCTTTATTTCAATTTTGACTTACTATTACAAAACCGTTTTCTCCATTCTATCTAGAGGAAACTACTAACTATTGAAGTCTCGGCGCTTGATGAGAGGAACGTTTATTTAAAAATAGGATGAAGAGGTGCGATCGCCTAGCAACACGAGAAACTCGCCTTATGTCTTCTTATTTAGCGCTAAAAATCGGATATATATAATCAAAACACACCCATATACACGAAGTGAAGACAAGAAAACTCTCTATTTTAGTTTTGACTGACTATTACAAAAACTGTTTTCTCCGTTCTATCTCGAGGAAATGAAAAACTACTGAAGTCTTGTGGTTTCACGCGCAGTTAGTCAGTTAATTATGCGAGTTAACAAGCCTGCATTTGCATACAAATTGGTTCAGCTCTGTAGTAAAAACTTCAAGGGAGAACCTTGACGTATTGTTATAAAAACAAAACAATATAACACTTAACAAGGATCAATTAAAACACGCGACTTGTAGATGTACTGGCAATGAAACCAGACACGTTTCTTAAGACACAAGAAATCAACTTTATGACCCTTTTATAATTGTAAAAAGATAAAATACTCAATGATTTAAAAGGAATCTATTAGAATTGAGGATAGAATAGTCAAAGTTAAGGCAAGAAATCTTTTTTTTTTTACACTATGCATAAATTTTTACTTACCCCTCCCCCTTTTCATTTTTATTTTCCTCCTCCACAATTTTATTATTTTCCCTCTTCCTTTTCAACTTTTTTATTTCCTCCTTCGCAATTTTAGCATTTTCCCTCCTCCCCCACAATTTAATTATTTTCCCTCCTCATTCTTGAATTCCCTCTTCCACAATTTTAATCTTTTCCCAGCTCCTCCTCATTCTTGATTTCTCTCCTCAACCTTGATTTCCCTCCTCCTCCTCAATTTTTAATTATTTTCCCTCCTCAACCTTGATTTCCCTCCTCCTCCACCACCTCCTCATTTATTCTACATATTTTTCCATCCACAAATACATCGACCTTAAATGGACCCCACATCGACCCTAGACTCAACTTTTTTTCTACACAGCTTCGTGAATAGTGAGACTATATACAACCACCACAACATTTCTATTGTTTTCTCTCCACCACCACCACCACCACCACATTTCTATTATTTTCTCTCTACCACCACCACCACCACCACATTTCTATTGTTTTCTCTGCACCATCAACACCACATTTCTATAGTTTTCTCTCCACCACCACCACCACATTTCTATAGTTTTCTCTCCACCACCACCACCACCACCACATTTCTATTGTTTTCTCTCCACCACCACACCACACTTCTATTGTTTTCTCTCCACATTATATAAGGAACAGTAGCCGGCAAACTCGAAATTCTTCAAAATCGCTCAAAAAACCGCTTCTTAGACAAAAGGGCAACAGCATATCGCAAGTAAGGTAATTTAACCTTTATTTAACATTGATTTATATAGATACTTACCGATATATCGCTATAGGTGAAGCAAACAATAAATCCAGTAAAATAACTATGAAATAACAATCGACTACACACACAGATTGTGCCGGCCCTTCTGTGGGGCAACTTCACCTCCGGGGCTAATTTCTAAGGAAATATGAGGAAAGAAGAAGGATAGAACCGCCTGAAAGTACAATAAACAGTACTAAAGTAATTTTGAGGGTTTGTTTATGTGGTCAAGTTGAAGAATTCTGTCTTTTTTTTATCGCTGTTTGTTTATTATATTTTCGTTTTCGTTTTGTTGCTCGTGGTGACCGTGACTACCCAAGTTATTAACCACGTCCTTCATACAATAACGATATTCTCCACTTGATATCCCCAAATAATCATAGCGATATCCTGCTCTTGGATATCTCCAAGTAATAGTGATATCCCGCACTGGATATCTTCAAATGATAGTGATATCTCGCGCTCGATATCTCCAAACAATAGCGATATCCCGCACCTGATTTCTCCAAATGATAGCTATATCTCGCACTTGAAAACTCGAAACAATAGCGATGTCCCGATTTTGGCGAGAGGGAAACCGTAGTACCCGGAGAAAAACCTCTCAGAGCAAGGGAGAGAACCAACAACAAACTTCAACCCACATATGGCGTCTAGTTCTGAATTAACCCCGGGGCCACATTGGAGGGAGGCGAGTGCCCTCACCATTGCACCATCCTTCTACCCCAAGGGCAACAAAGCGATAAGAGGTGTACCCTACCCCACCCCACCCCACACCCCTTTTAGTTTTCACCGGGATCAATATGCTACTGTGACTGCCCTATTTCACTCTGCGTCGTGTTCAGTCTTGGTGACACCAGTGAGTTGGTTTTCAATTAATTCACCCATTTTCTTCGTGATAAAGTTAAAGCAGAATTATTGGTCACTAACCTTTTTATGTGTGGACGAAACCCTATGGTGCTACTATTGATAGGACTGTATACTTTTTCGTTGTTTTTTGTTTCGTGTTTGTATGTTTGTTTTTATTTTGCTCGCCATTTAATAGAAGTGAAAGAGTAAAACATTGCAAAGATATATTGATCTTTTTGTGGGGTCTCGGTCAAAAGTAGGATTACTATGATTTTTTATTTCATTTTCAAAGGCTTATCACACTTAATCCCCACAATGTAAATAAAATCCCTAATAATAAATTCAAACACTTACACCTCATCAAAAAAAACAATAAGCATTTATTAACCAAGAGATAAACGTCGAGAAATTGAGCTTCAATACAAATACATAAGAACTCCTTCTGAATTACTGTATAATTGAACTTTTTAAAGTGATTACTTAGACGTGTTGGAGTCTAACCCACCTGAGTTGCTTGGGTGCCAGAGTCTTTTCATGTGCGGTTTTGATTTTGGTCAAGTCTTCTTTTGTGACCCATTCGTGGCTTCGGCCTTCGACCGAAGACGTGTGTTTTACTTGTGGCCGATCCCGAAACATCTCCGCACTCAATCGCCGCACCCGAGACTAAAACCGCTGGTGCCCTGGGAAGGAATACCCCCTTTAATGGCCTTTTTTTAAAAAAAACTATTGGATTTTATTCTTATGTGTGATTACACATCATGCAACTGCAGACAACCTGAAGTGCTTGTATACAGCTGTTTCAAGAAAGGTCGTCGGAAAAAATGTGCACGCGATCGACTAGTGTTACTCGTGCGAACTATCAGTCACTGAAGCTTCATTACAACTAAAGAAAACTTGCCAAAAAATGTATCTTCCGTTTTGAAGAGATTCTCTTATTCGAAGGCGAGACGCTGATCTGGGAGTAATTCTCTCTCACAACTACGAATTTCAGTTGCATCCAAGCGGATTGAAGTCTTGTTATTTAAACTTGGAAAACGCGGCTGAACGCACCTTCTTGTCGCTTGGTCACACCTACAAAGCAAAGAAGGAATAGCAATATTAGCGGGGAATTAGGAAAAATTAAGGCCCGTTTATAAGGAGAATAGTTGTCCCGGAAGAGAGGGTGAGCCTCTTGGCCGAGTCAAGTGGAGCGAGCGAAGAAAGTTGCTTCCTTTGCCAGAGAGTTGCTAGAGCCAATAGGGCTGGCGCATGCTCTGATTCAGTCTCCCCCGTTCTTGTTCCCAGACCTGCGGTCATTAACCAATAGGGATGAGGAGTGTTACGTCATGTTACCATGGTAGCTAAATTTCTGGATCACAACAATAGGGAGTTAAAGCAACGACAACGGCGACGGCAACGAGAACGGCAAAAAAGCTATATGATTAATAAGCAAAACAATAACTTTGCACGTGCATCACGCTATTCTGTCAATTTCGATGCGGTCCCTCCGCAACTACGTCGTAAAATGTCTGACTAAAGCCCTAAAGACAACGTGATTGGTAAGACGATAAATTTTACTGCATCTGTCTGAGCTCAGACGCGGTCAGTTTCTCTCCCACTGGCGTCTCTCTTGTCAGTGAGTAGGTAATTTTCGCTATAACCGAAAATGGTCCTTGAAAAGAGAATGGCGTTCATGTGGGGAGCTTAAGCAACAAAGACAGCGATGGCAATGACAAGAACGTCAACAAAAGCAAAGCAACAATTTTGCACGTGCACCACACTTTTTGGTACATTTTATTTCCTTGGTTTCTTGGCTCCACAAGCACGGCGTGAAATTTCCTTATGCGGCATTTATGCAGTACGTTAAGACACAGCGACTTTTTTTTTTCCTTTCTCAAATTGAGTGCGGTCCCCAAGAATTTAAATCGAAGAAAATTCACCTGCATTTGACATAATTACCACGTTTTTGCAGAAAAGGTACCCCTTTCGTGTTATATACGATATACCTTCCTTTGACAAATAGTATCTCTTTCACATGCTGGCATGAATAACTCACAAAACCAGGACGTTTTCACGACTTTATCACAGCTATAAAATGAATATGTCTGCCCTTTTGGGCTTTTTTACAGAGTGAAAAGTATGGATTTCCCTACCTTTTTATATACTTCCGCTGGTAAAAATCGTACCATTTCGCCCCATTTAAGAGAATTCGGATTCCAGTATCCGGGAAAATTTTACTTATGGAATCCGGAATCCCACTAACGATTGGAATCCAGAATCCAAGACTGCGCTGGATTCCTTTACATGGGGCGATACAATGTCATATACCTGAAGCCTAAAAAAGGAACCCATTTCGGGTAGAACTACCCCCTCCCCACCAAGAGTTAAGTAGTTTCTCCGCATAGTATTGTATAGTTTAAGCAAACTTACCTGTAAAAATATGGACAACACTTTCCGTCCATGCTGCCATGACAACAATTAGCAAATGGACTATTACAGCAGGCGTATCTTCGGAGACGTGCATAATAACAGCATGTTTTACGGTCTTCGCAACGTCTTCCGTCAGGGCAACGAATAAAACCTGCGTTGCTGCCTTTCGGGAAAAAAAGAGAGTTTAGTGTGAGATGAAATGTACAAATGCCAGTACAGAACTTGATCGAAAACTCACAGTAGACGTCTTTGAGCGACGCAGATCATCCGGAAATGAGATCTTTTCCCTTTCAAAATGCCTTGACGAGAAAACATTTGTTTTCCTAGGTGTCTTTGCTCTAAGAGACGATTCACTAAAAAAATTAGCAAATCCTTTGCCCAAAGTCCACTTCCGGTTGACGTATAGGAGGGGGGCATATAAAACGATCAGCATGTTACTCGCCGTGTCCCTTAGAGGTGAAAATTGTATAGTTTTCCATATCAAAGAGTTTTTAGGATTATTTAACAATCATTTAATTTATTATGAATGAGGTTGAGTATGATATGAGCAATTATGCAGATCGAGGAGGATGTTATCGGCCGAGGTGGATTATACAGCCTCCGAGATCTCCATAATTCGTCACATCCCACGAAAACCGAATTCAGTAATTTTCCTATACTGATATATTTATACGCAAAATATTTTACTTAGATAGTCTTGATAGTGGCTTTATGATGACGCCGAAAGGTACGTGGACTATTTACGCTCTTATTTAATTGTATGTTTCGGTCAAGTTCTTAACAACCTCACCCCCTTGACTCTCTTCAAAACTTTGGCCTATTTCTCGGCACAGTTTTTAGAATAAGAACAGACTCTTTTTTTCCTTTCAGATACTCTTAAACAAGTATATGACATCCATCGAGCAATATTTTTTGCGTATTCGACTTGCAGCCAGGATGAAACCCCGGATAAAAACAGGTTGCTTGAACTTGGAAAGAATTTTAAAAATTGAAAAAGTTTGCCAAGTTGTTGTCTACAAATGACCAAAACCCGATGACGCTTTGTTCTTTCTTTGCAAGAAAAATTTGATATTTTTCTTCTAGAGTTCCAAGTATGACAAAGGATGGCTGACAATACCTCAGGTTGTTCGAAGTCCTATTGCCCGGCGGTTAAAGTTTAATCCGGTAGATTTTTAAGCCGATTTCTCAGGTAATTTTCTCCATTATTTTCTCAGGTAATTTTCTCCATTTTCTCCATTATTTTTAGAACATCGAATTCCAATCATCAAATTGTAGACAAAAAAAATTAAAACTGAATTTGCCTTTTAACCTTTCATATCTGATTCAAATTTCCCCAGCTTTGAACAACCCAGCCCAGGTTATAAATTTTGCAAAGCCTGGAACTCGCCATGACATATCCCCTTCAACCTTAGACCCGAAAATGTTTTGAAAATAAAATGATCGCTTAAATTAGTTTGATTTCGCAGCAATATTTATTTACCTGCTTTATCGACATACGCACACACAAACGGCACAATCATCACCAGGATGACGGCAACTGTCTTCACATTTGGTGCAAGCATTTTTTAAGGGATCAAACTCCTGCAGACCTGTGCGAACGTAAAGGTTAGGCAATATTAATATAAGAAAAATTTTGCTCGATAACACTGACAGCAAAATGCCCCTCTTACGGTACTGTTGACCGAAAATTCTTTTCACCACAGTTTTTCTCAAGCATAAAATTCAAGCACAGGGAACACTGTGTGTGTAACCGATTGTTATTTTATAGTAAATGTACTGGATTTAACGTTTGCTTCAGCTATAACGATATATCGCTAGGTATGTCTATAAATCAATATTAAATAAACGTTAAATTACCCTAACTGTGGTATATTATCGTCCTTTTGCCTCAAAAGCGGTTTTTTGAGCGGTTTTAAAGGAGTTCGCTGCATGCTTACTCCGATCCCTTCCTAAATAACTTAAACATCTGTTCGGTTTTCCTGGCTGAAAAGTCTAGTGATCCGAAAATTATAGGGATCAAAACTTACTTTTTCGAAAATTTCAGCCAGAAAAAAGGCTCCCGAAAATTCTAGGTGACCTTTTTAGGGTAAAAATCCGTTTAATATGGGCAAGATACCATTTTTAGATGTTCTAAAATCCTAGGAGAGGCAGACAAGCAAGAAATTTTAAAACAAATGTTCCGAAAATTCCAGATCTCAATCCCAAATCGTCTTCCGAACAGATATTTTCCAAAAATTGACGTTGGGTGCCCCTACTAGGTGGCTATAGAGGGTCAAAAAGGCTAAGGTGAAACTCGATCAAACAACGACCTTAATTTTATGTTTCTGCCCCATTTCTCTGACAATAACAAAACAGAATGTATTCTAGAGTTACGTACTTTGTGATATTCTTGCTTTTAGTCAAAACTCGATGTCTAACCCGTCCTTGAGGTTTCACTCTTCTCTTACGAACACGGAGCTCTCTTTACCAGTTTATCAATTCTTCTTTTTATCGTGAGCTCCCAACTTACACTAGTCTCCGCATAGGTCCCCCGCCCGCCCCCACCCCCTTATTTTTAGATCAAACTGAGTCCCGAAGGGCCGAAAAAAAAATTTTGAAGATCGTCCCGCCCTTAGAAAGTTCACCCCCCGCTTAGAGACAGCCTCACCTCGGGGCTAATCACTAAGGAAATGTGAGTAGTCAGGAGCTGACAATAAAATACCACGGCATGTCTTTAAAAAAAAGAAAATCCTGTAGCCTACTCGTCAAACTCGCCCACTGTGAGGTTACGCATAATTTGAGCTTTTCGCATTTTACATAACGCATTTTACATAGCGCTTATTTATTACCCGTCATGACCAGCTGATGCCAGGGCATTTTCCAGGGCAAATTGACAATAACAGATATATTTACTATATCTAAGACAACTTGGCTGGAAAAATGGAAGTTTGTACCCAAGTAATTGCCCTAGGGGCAGTGTAAGGGGGGGGATACTCTGGAAAAAATTCCTCCACCCCCCCTCCGAATAAATCCCGTGCCGAGTCCGAGCCTTAACGTGTTGGGTTGTACTCTATTCGCAGAACTTCGAGGCAGGGATACGTGGGCTCTACTGCGAATGTTCAGATTGTTTTGAATATCCAAAAAAAACTCTACTAACTCAAACCACCAAAAATACTCGCTAAATTAATTTTCCCGATATTTTTAGCTGATTAGATCTCTAATCAGCTAAAAATATTGAGAACAAGAAAACACGAGAAGTCTCAAGACTACTGTATGGTTTGACCCGGGGTTTGACACGTTGTTATCAGCTTTGCAGTAGTCTTTGGACTTCAGACTTCATTTTTTTTACGAGTTCATGCAGTTGCAATACAGCCGGGGGGGTACTGCCATATATGGGCTTTAGTTTATTGGTACGTGCCGCTGTGAAGGGTATGGTTTTCAAGCAGTTTACTCTGGGATAGGGTATATAAATCAGAGGGTTTGGGTCTAGAATAGGGTATCATTTTGCATTTAAACTGATCAATTGGCTGAAGATTTTAGTCTAGACAAGGGAAACTGGCAATTGCCAGTCACGAATATAAAAAATCAAATCGGTTTTGTTTTGGCTGGACTGTGCAAGTGACCTTACTTGTTTCTGGAAAACAGCTACTCTAGGATAGGGGGGATTGGGGGAGTTTACTAGTACAAGGTAGAAAAATTCACTAGAACTAGCTCTGGTATAGGCGAAGGGTTCCAGGGCCCCAAAGGCACATCCCCACCCAAAAAGTCCTAAAGTACCCCCCCCCCCCCCCCCCCCCCAACACACAAAGCAACCCTTAAAAAAAAAATACCCTCCACTCTTGTAAATTTTATTCCTCCTCTTTCTTCCAGCTTCGACTTTTTTCTTTTTTTTTTTTTTTCTTTTTTTTTCTTCATCTCATCAGCTTAATAATCA